TATCTGAGCAAGTACCATGGGGATCACTGGGTCCTTATGTATGAACCATAATTAATTTAACCCATCCAGAATGGCCATCTGGACATTTGTGTTTCTAACCAACACAATGAATACCCATGAACTTCACTTGTTCCTACTGCTTGGGATTACATTCAAAACTGCTCAGCAATGTCTGATACTAGTTAATCAGATTTGGATTAGAAATCAATAGCCAGTTCAACCTGCTCACTGATTACTTTATCCACCCAACCCCAACAGCTTCAAAGGTCTATGATATTCTGAATCCCCACCCAAGGATTTGTCCTCACTGAAATTCTCAAAAGATAACCATGAATCTCTAATGGTGATAATTTTAGTATATGTGACACAGGACACTAGGTACAATACCTGACTGTAGGAAGCCTCCCCAAATCCCAAGTTATAACAGGTGTAAAGTCCTTATCAGAGTCTCTGACTCACTGGCCAAGTCATTTATGTTCTCTAGGAAACTGTATTTTCCCATTTAAAAGCAATTGCAAGCTTGGTAGGTTTTCTCTCAAAGCGATGCTAAAAGGTCAAATAAAGAAGGCAATGAAATATGCTTTGAATGCTTCCAGAAAAAACTTTAATCCCAAGACATAATTGTTAATGAATGGTTTCTCATCTGCATATGGGTTAAAATATTTTTTTAAAAAAGCATACTTTCATTGGTGCTCATTGCAAAGACACTAATTCTTCATGGTTTCATAAGCACATATATAACTGAGAATAATTTGCAGTGATCGTACAATAATGAATGTAAAATCCTAATGAGAGAACATATATTGGCTGAAAATTTGTGTTGTTCTTTTCTTCCTTTATTTTGTCAAAGATATTGTATTTGAATTTCCTTCAAAGGGGATTAGCGCCTGTTTAGTATTATCCCTCTCTTTCATGTGAAAACTTTCATTAGAATCCTAGGCAGAGCTTTAGGCTTTCAATGAAGAGGTTATTAAAAATAATTAATATCTAAATGGTGCTCAAAATACCACATTACAGTTAATCAACTACATAGTCAAAAGGCACAGAGATGGAGATGATATTAAATACCAGAGAGCCCAGCCTGATCCATTAGTGATTTTATTATTTCTGAGTACAAATTTAACTTCTTTGATAGGGCAAAGACTGTAGACTTCTGGAGGCCTCATTTGGTCTAAGTAGATGATTTTCTTGAGAGGATTCCATGTTGGGGATCAGACAGGAACTTGTGGTGGTCTCAGAGATGGTGTCTACATTTCACATTCCCTAAAGGGCAGCTTTAAATACAGCCTTAGCCAGGATTCTAGGGTTTTTATCAGGCTTTCTAGATAATCAAGACTTGGACTACAAAAAGTTTTCGTGAACTTCTTGTTTTAATTCTCAAGAGAGATTCAAGGAGAGGCTGTCCTTAGGGTTCCTTAATGACAAATGCTGCCTTAGTTCTTCTCTTGTGCTGAAGTTCATTTGTTAACTTCCCAAGGTAAAATGGTCACTTAAATCCACAGAAAATGGGAACCATTTCAATCATTCTATCTTTTATTACTCTGAAATAAGACACCCCAATTAATGAATGTTAGCACTCTAGCTCAGCATTTCCCAAGTATGATCTTTAAAACACTATTACCATATACACTGCAAAAAAAGAAAAGAACAAGTTAAAAAAATGCTATAGTTCAATGATGTGTGGGGAATGCTTATTACATTTCTTGTCATTTCAGGAAAAAGCTTAAGATCTAACAATTTCCAAAATTAAGAATCATATTTAATGTGGAGTATTTTCCAAGGTTATTTACCATAAAATATTGTTCATACTCTCACTCCCAACACCCAGTTCAACCGATTTCCAGGCTAGAGAATACACTTTGGGAACTAAGTTCATTCACACTGTATCCTACATTAGGTGACTGCCGTCAATTTTAATGAGATTAAAATAACACATTTAGCATTTTATCAGCAATAAAGATATTTACTCTTAAAATGCACGCAGCCAACATGGCCAACCCAAGTTTGTTTCCTCCGCCCCTCTCGGAGAGCCTGGCAAGCTATCCAGAGTATCTCGCTCGCATGGCAAAGCCTGGCAAGCTACCCGTGATGCATTCGATATGCCAAACACAGTTACATGTCTCACAATATTACTGGGTCCACTCGAGCAAATCGATGAACAATGGGAGGACAGTGACAGTGACAGTGACTCTTAAAAAGCACTCCCCACTGGTAGAACCTGTGCCACTTCTGGGCTTAAACATTTTCAGAGATCTGAACATCTAAGATTTAGGACTATTGATCTATCCTTTTGATTATCCAGCTGAGATAAAGCATCAAGTCTATGGCAAATCACAATGTCCAGAGTTATGAAGGCAAATGTAAGGTAAGAAGACTGCCCTCAGGAAGAACACTGCGATGAAGGCATAAGACAAGTAACAAAATCATGTAAGGTATAATAAAGAAAAAAGGGAAGACATTCTGTATAAGGAGCAACAGAAAGCCGATAAAGACTAAACCTACTGAGCCAGGCTCCGACAGGAAGATTGTTTTCACATAGAAGGGAGATGAATAACAGCATGAGAAGGGCTGAGCCAGGCTCCGACAGGAAGATTGTTTTCACATAGAAGGGAGATGAATAACAGCATGAGAAGGGCTGAAGCTATAGCTACAATGAAGAATGACTTTCTAAGTTGTTCCTCCTTCATATCACATATCAAAACAAGAGAATCTAGAACTGAAAATGTCATGACTAGTTGGCCAGATCTTATCATATTTCTTTAGACCAGGAAACCTCTGCACAGCTTGCCTGATGGCAGGTATGGAGTGAGTCCTGTATCCACCTTACCTTGACCAACCACACCGTTTCATGTTACCCATGAGCAGCTTTACATGTATTCATCACATCAAAAGGACACCAGGCTAGCGATATGCCTTTGCAACTCGCCATATGAAACAAAGGGGTTCTTAGAACTAGATATTCAAGTATAGCTTGTAAGTAAATTCATTTTGCATGAATAAAGTGTAAATTCCTTGAAAAAACATGTAATGAATTCTTTGGGGTGTAAGAAATCCACTTATCACACTTCATCACTTAACTTCCCGTTAGTCGTCGATTTGCTCGAGCGGGCGCCAGTAACGTCTCCATTTGTCCCTGTCACATGCTAGTGTAGCCCAATGGCATCTGTTCGCTCTGGGAACATGAAGAGCCTCAAACCGATCGTTCATGATCTTGACGAAGAAGTCTGACCATCTGGTAGGTGGGCGGCCACGCGGTCTTTTGACATCCCATGGAATCCAGTCGGTAACAGCTCTAGTCCAGCGGTCATCTTTAAATCTCATTATGTGGCAGCCCATCTGATTTTGGACACCTTGGCAAATGAGACAGCGTCCCTGATTCTTGATCGTCGACGGATGTCAGAACTCCGGATTCTTTCTCTCATTTGAGTGAAACGTGATATTCCAAGCATAGCTCTTTCTATACTTAAGAAATCCACGTACTGTGGAATGTCTGTTTAGATTTTCCTGAATAGGACAAAGTTGTTATTTAAGGGCTACTAAACTTAGAGAAATGCTGAAAACCAGATACATGAAAACTCTATTGTTCCTGAAATAGGAAAAAAAATATCAAACATCCAAGTGAAAAATGACATCTGACAAATATTTAATATGAAATCACAGTTCCATCTATAAATTTATTTATTCAGGTCCATATCATCAAAGATACTTGAGTTTCTTAGATGATATGCCCTGCCTACCCTAAGTAATGACCCTATAATTTTCAAATTGAAAAATACCAATATAGAGGGATATTAGTAGACATGTATATCATCAGGAGTGATGTAGACAACAGGGAGTAGTAGCAGAATTAAAAAAAAACATAAATTTTTAACCTTTTAAGTAAACTGACAAATTGCACCCTGCAGTCTAGTTTTAGCATCAGCACCATTTTTCCAGAATGGCTTTTCTCCTGTTTACCTATTGCCTAATGATTCTCTATGCCCAGAAGGGCAGCCAGTGTTATTGAAATGGCCATCAATAAACCTGAGAAATAGTACAGGAGTTTGGTAACTTGCCTTGTATGTTGCCAACACCAATTCAATCCCCAGCACTGTGTATAGTCCCTTGAGAATCACAAGGAACAATCCCTGAGCACCACCAGATATATACCAACCCCCAAATAGATTTCAACAACAAAAATTTCTAGTGATTTTTTTGTTGTCATTCAATATAATTCAGGTCAGCAAGACTGATGAGTTCTTTTGGTCATTAACTATCTATTTAATAATTGTAAATATAAAGCCATTAATTTCCTGAGCCCCAGAATTAAAATAATTAGGGGGAAGATTATAAGGTTGGGCAGAATAAAGAGATGTAAAGTATGCATGAATATGAAAAATAATCCTTTCCAAAATAGTGTTTCTTTGAGGGTGCTACGGACCTACATGCAAACAGAATATTATTGCTATGGAATTTGTTCAAAATTTTCTAAAGAGAAAAAAAAACCCAAAACCACAATAAAAAACCTCATGCCACACATATATAACTCTTACATTGAGGAGGATAAGTTGTTTATGATCAAAACAAGTCAAAATAAAGACAAGTAAAAATAAACCACTTATTTATCATCAAAATATTGCCAACTGCAAATATTCTTGCTGTTTTCATTTTGTAATAATCAGAGTAGGATATAAATTAGAGAAAGAATCCGGAGTTCCAATCTCTGTCCACGGTCAAGAATCAGGGATGCTATCTCATTTGCCAAGGCGTCAAAAACCAGATGGGCTGGACATGTAATGAGATTTGGAGATGACCGCTGGACTAGAGCCGTTACCGACTGGATTCCACAGGACGTCAAAAGACTGCATGGCCACCCACCTACAAGATGGTCATACTTCTTCGTCAAGACCCTGAACGATCAGTTTGAAGCTCTTTGTTCCTAGAATGATCAAATGCCATTGGGCTACACTAGCATGCGACAGGGACGAATGGAGACGTTATTAGCAACTGCTCGAGCAAATCAGTGATTAACGGGATGTCAAGTGATCAAATGATCAAGGCTAAACATTCACTCTAAAATCACCTTGCATGTGTTCCCAAATCTAGTTCTTTTCCTAGCTAGGTCTGGTATTATAAACACAAGTGACACACACACACACACACGTGATTTTTTGTTGTTATTCAATATAATTCAATTCAATATTGTTATATTCAATTCAATATATTATATTGTGTGTGTATCAATAGAGTCAAAAAGCAAGTCAAACAAAACATGTTCTTTTATAATGAGAACACTATAAACAAAACACTATTTTGCATAGGGCTCTTTAGTTTCCCTGGAGGGGCTTGGGGTACTTTATGTGGTGCTGGGGATCAAACCTTGGCCAGATGTGTGTACTCTTGCCCTACCAATTATATTATGGCTCCAGTGCAAAGTTAGTGTGTGTGTGTGTGTGTGTGTGTGTGTGTGTGTGTGAGTGTGTTTGGGGAACAAAGGTGGTAGAGCTCAGTACTTCTGAATCTGAGCTCAAAGATCATTATTGGCAGCACTTCAGGACCATCTATAGTGCCAGGGATTGAGGCCAATCAGCTGCGTGCAAAGCAAATACTCTACCTGCTGTTCTATTTCTCCAGCCCTAAACTAGTCTTATTTTAAAAGCTAAATCATTTAAGAGATCAAAGTGATAGTGTATCATTACCTTGTATGCAGACAGCCCTGGTTATATCCCCAGTACCCTGTACAGACCCCTAGCACTGTCAGGAGTGACCCTGAGTGCAGAGCCAGGAGTAAACCCTGAGCACAGCCCAGTACGGCCCAAAACAAATAAACAAAAAAAAAGTTAAAACATTTATAGATAGTTTAGCACACAGCATTTTAACGCTGTGTAAGTTTCATAACCAGTTAGCACTGTGTAAGTTTCAAACAGTCAACTGTTTTGGTTAGTTAGTGATAACATTTTGGTTTTGGTACCACCACAAATTTTTGTTTTGTTTTTTGCTTTGCAGGCTAGAGCGATAGCACAGCCAGTAGGGCATTTGCCTTGCATGCGGCCGACCCGGGTTTGATTCCTCCATCCCTCTCAGAGAGCCCGGCAAGCTACCAAGAGTATCCCGCCCACACAGCAGAGCCTGGCAAACTCCCCGTGTCATATACGATATGTCCAAAACAATAACAACAAATATCACAACGGAGACGTTACTGGTGTCTGCTCATGCAAAGCGATGAACAATAGGAGGTCAGTGCTATAGTGCTATGCAGTAGGGCGTTCACCTTACAAGCGGCCAACATGGCCGACCCGAGTTCGATTCCTCCGCCCCTCTCAGAGAGCCCGGCAAGCTACCGAGAGTATTCGATATGCCAGACACAGTAACAACAAAGTCTCCAATGGAGACGTTACTGGGCCCGCTCGAGCAAATCAACGATCAACGGGAGGGAGGGCCTCCCTTTATCTATGAGACACACCGCTTGTTTTAAATTTTTGTGTTGTGGAGAACAAATTAAGAGAACATTCTATTTGCTGAGTCATCTTTGCTTATTGGCTAGCTCTCTCCCATTTGGATGTTGGCATTATTGAACAGAGAATCTGACTTTTTATTCTCTACCTCAAGCTCACTGCCAATGTAAAGAAATGTAAAGATTCAGTACATATTTGCTATGTGAATTAATTTCTGAAGAAGAAAAGATGAATATATAAATAAATTATTAAGAGAAAAATGACATCTGAAAGGAAATGTGAACTGTCCATTAGAATTGGTGAAAAGAATTTACTAAGTTTTCTATATTAACCCTTGAATTTTATCATTTGTCTAACTGGGATCTATTCGACATAAGACTAATAATCAAAATAATAAAGAAAAGTGGGTAATGTTAACCAATCACCAAATATAACTCAGAAATAAAATTAACAATTTGTTAGTATAAATGTCTCACATTCTTTTAGTGAGTATTTATGTTTGTCCTAAATCATGAGTAAAGAAAATAAAATAGTTAAATAAAAATATAGTGAAACTATTTCAATAATTCTCAATATATAATGAGCAGTGATTTCATAAATTTCCAAATATGGTTCAGCAATGTGCACTTGCAGAGAAAGAAAATAAATTGAAGTTTGCTTTCTTTTCACAACTTTTGTTACTGGAAAAAAATAAGCATTAAAATATTTACTATCTACAGTCATTATCTGAGAGGAACAGAAGTGTGCCATTCCCCAAACTCAGAAAATGGTAGTGTAATGTCACTTAAAAAACAAAACAAAACAAAACTATCCAATACATTTGAGTGTATGTTAGTATAAAAACACACTAGGCACAAATATGTCATCAATGGTGGGTGACGTTTGTGATGTGAATCAGGTAGAGTCACAGTGAGAAGCGCTAGAGTGATCGTACAGTGGGTAGGGCGTTTGCCTTGCACATGGTTGACTCAGGCTCCATCCCATGCATACCATATGGTCCCCCAAGAACTGCCAGGAGTAATTCCTGAGCGCAAATCTAGAAGTAACCCCTGCCATCACAAGATATGACCCCAAAAGCCCAACAAATTAAAAATTAAAAAGAAGAGAAGCACAATGATGGAATGTCTGTCTCTGAGTCTGTCCCTCACATACACGTAGACACATGCAAAACACACTAACTCCTTTAACTTTTCGGTCTGCCCACCACTTCATTATCAGTCCAACAACATACCAAACCTTGGTGTTTTGAACTTGTTAAAGAGTCTTGAAATGGTTATTGACACCACAACTCAGTATAGTTCAACAGGACTTTTCTGCAGTCAAAATGACCTATAGGTTGTTCATTTAAAAACTGGGGACCACGGAGTACCTGTCAAGCAACTTGTGCTACTTTTAATTTTGTTCAATTTTCATTTAAATAGACACTTTCGGAAAGTAACTACAACGTTGCTCAGCCAGTTCTAGATAGATCCCTTTATTTTTTGTCCCTTAATGCTCCAGGAAACTCCTGCTCATCTTTTAAGACTCAACTCAAATACCCACTCCAACAGAATATCTTTCCCATTGCTATCTTTTCTGTAACAGATGCATGTACTTTAAGAATACCCATTTGCCAGCCTTTATTATAATTGTTTTATGACATGTTGATCCTCTCACTAGACACAGATCTCTTAAGTGCAGGAACTCTGCCTGGCTCATTTCTAAATCCTTAGTTCTGTGCCTGCGACATGAGAATTACTTGACAAATATTTGCCAGATGCTCAAATCAGACAATGAAATCATCTTTAGATGTCAATAAATATAAGCATAGTTTTCAAGAAGATTCTTTCCAGGAAATATTTTACTGCCTTCATACAGGAGTTATGAACCAGTTATATATAACCTTCAGATTTGATTATGGCCATGTGTATTTTTAAATGGAAATTGTTTTAAACTTTCCAGGAAAAAAATTAGAATAGCAGCTTTAATCCTATACTCTTTCTTGGCAACCAGGTACCAGAATGGAAGATGTAGTTGCATTTTTGAATTAATAAAATATTCTACAGAGTATGTTTCCTGATTGCTATCCAACTTTAATCACTTATTATTTCTATTATTATTTTGTGATCAGTTCACCTATCAACTCCAGACACTAAATGAATTGACATAAAACTCAAGCTCAGAAAGTGCTATCTAACTTGAAAAAGTCAAATAATAATAATAGGAAGAGCAACAATAGGAACAAAACAACTGGAAGAACAATGGTCACTAACATATATTGGCCAAGCTCTCTATGACCTCCCAAATACTTTGAACCTCATTTTATCAATGAAGAGATTGAGGTGCTAGGGAAAACACTGGGAATCAGCAGATTCTTAGTGTGAATCAAGTCTGATGTGATCAGAGTCCTTATTACAATCTCTCCACTACAAAGCCAGCCCTCTATGGTTTTTTTTCTGTTTTTTATAGCCTGAGTTTTTTTCTCAAGAATGCTTCAAAGTGGGGCCCTGGGAAAGTGGAATAACCTTTCCGTGTTTTGCTCTTACACTAGCAATGAGCTTCAGAAATAAGAGCTGACATTTCCTCCAGAGGTATATGGGGGCACAATGAACTTTTCAGACATTTTCACAAATGGAAAATTATCTCATCTGTGTAGGCAGATAATGACTGGTGGTGGTGGGGAGTATGGAGGCAGGCAAGGTTTTAATCTTTTAAAGAAAACAATGGCATTGTGGCAACTGAAAGAATCCAACCTCAAGCACCAAGGAACTTTCACCCAAGGAGAAAATCTCTCTGTGGCAGCAATAAAAATTTGGCTTCCTGAGGGCTTCCTGTCTTTTATGTCATCTAGTTGGCAACAAAAGGATGAAAGTCAATAGAAGATTTACTGAACAAATGTTGTGGGACATTGTATAAGGACAGTGCTTAGCAAAACATTTTTTCAATGATCCAAGTGATAATATTTAAAACTCGCAGGCCATAGGTTAAAAAAAAGTGAACATAGTCGTGTGCCAATAAACGTTTATTAACAAAACCAGGTATAAACTCATAGGCTACTAGTTTGACAACTGCTTCAAAGCATCATAGAAGGAGAGCAGAGATTCAAGAGACCTTACACCTGCTCTTTACCATGATCACATGATCAAGTGCAATAATAGAGTCAGTACTTTTTCTCTGTCCTTTTTCTTTCTTTCTTTTTTTTTAGGATGACACCCAATGATGTCCAGCTCTTAATCCTGCTTTGTGCTCAGGGATCCCTTCTGGTGGTGCTTAAGGGTGCCAGGGATCAAAAATGGGTTGGCTGTATGCAAGGCAATTGCCCTACCTGCTGTACTATAGCTCTGGCCCCCAAATTATTTCTTTTTCTGATTACACCCAAGCTTTGGAGATAAGGATTTAGACAACCAGACCCAGTGGTTCAGTCCCAGACTATTCTCCAGGGCATATAGGCAGCATGTTTCTGCTTTTACCCAATGAGTAGTTCCCTCCAGCAACTATATAGGCTGCAGAGCAGAGTAGGTGAGGCAACATGGCCTTCTAACTACAAGATATATTAACTCTTTGAATATCTTGAAAAACTAATTCAAAGTTAAGCTAAATTTAACTAAATCTAAGTCAACGGGAAAAGGGCCTCCAAAACTCTTGCAAACAAGCATGCTTAGAACGATACACTTAGATACAATCCTTTTTTCTCTTCTATCCTCTGACTACTCCCAG